CAGGAAGCAATGGAGCAAGACTGAAGACATCAAAAGAGGAACTAGAAATATCTAAATTAGAGAACAAGAAAAACTTGTTAGGTTTGTCTGAAGACTGTTTCTATATTGTAAATTTCTTAGTTGAAGAAGGTGGACTGGATCACAATGAAAAAAATTAGGACAAATGATCAGTTTTCAAGAATAGGAATTGATTTTGGTAAAAGCACAAGTGCCATAAAAATTTTTTTAATAAAACTGTTGTAGTAATGGCTCCTTTAATGACACAGTTGATTGTTTGGCCTCCCAGTTGGAAAATCAAAAAATTAGTACCAAATCAATTTAAAGCCTATTTCAACAATGTACAATCAATTATTGACTGCTTTGAAGTTGAAATTGAAAAACCTTCAAATGCACTGCATCAGGCTAAAACATGGAATGAATATAAAAAGTGTAATACTATAAACTATCTTGTGAGTTGTACTCCTAATGGGCTGATAAACTTTATTTCTAGTGGGTTTGGAGGACGAACAACTGATGTACAAATTGTTGACAAATCAGACTTCATTAATATGATTCCAGAAAACTGCATAATAATGGCAGATAGAGGTTTCAAACACATAGAAACTATACTGCATAAAACAAAAACTCACCAAAGCAGAAGTTAATAAAACTAAAATAATAGCTGCTTTGAGAGTCCATATTGAACGGCTCATAAGGAGACTCCGTGAATTTGCTCTGTTAAAACCACATGCCTGTATACGGTCCAGAATAGTCCACCTTCTAGATCATGTGGTGATCATTGTGTGTGGTTTAGTAAATTTACAAGAACGGCTCATCAAGAAATAAGTATTATTGCCATGGAAGTCTTGTTTTTTCTATATTTTAATAGTACATAACTGCAAGTGCAAGATTGTTTTGTGGTATATTAATACTAACACAGTGAATTTCTTAGCACATCCATAAAGCTAAGTATGAATAATTTTGTAAAACACCAATTTTTCCTTTTGTAGGTTAAAAAACTTGTATAGGACTTATTTGAGGCTGTTCTTTACATAATATAATTTTTTGGAGTATCTATAATTTTTTATTCTCCTTACGACACATTATCATTTAGAAACCTCAAAATAAATAAATTACTCGAATTTACCAACGCTCTATGACATAAAAATAACTAATTATGTGTATTAAATTTTTGAAAAGCTTATTAGATCAACAATGTTATGGAATTCAGGATTATTTTAGCTGGTCAGCTGGTGGTATATATCAATATTTTTGTTCATCTACAAATACAATAAAACATTTGCAGCTACCTACTAATGTAAATAGTTAAAAAAACATTTCATGAATAAAATACTTTTTTAAAACATTATAAGTGCTTTATTCAATCAAATAAACACATAAAATAAATTGGACAAGAATATATGCATAATATAGACTAAATACATTTGCATAATGTATCACAGTTTGCAAATATTAATCATACATTTTGTGATGATACCGGAATAGAATAAGCTAGCAGCTAAACCCGGTGTTGTCTGATTCAAAATACATTTTTCTATCTTATATATGGGCCCAAATCTTGGTATTAATTCAATTACTAAATCAATTTATTATAAAACAAATTTGAAGATAATAAAAATTCAAAAGTAGGTATTGAAAATATTAGTATAATAAACTTTGATACATTTATATAAAATCTAATACATGAAAGTTTATACCAAATATATTTCAATACACACAAACAGTTGAGTTGTCTTTTAGTCGAATCTACAGGAAATTGTTGATATTACAAGTTGAGTACATTACAGTAGATCTATTGAATCGGTTTTGGGAAGATAGTTTTTTCCCAAAACAAAGTTGCTTTTTGCAGCAAATCCTTACAAAAAGAAATGTCAAGTTCAACTTCCACAATTGATACATCTTTATTCACTTCAAAATTTGGTGAAGCAACACAAAATAATCACTTCTTTCTGCCTGACAATAGCATATGGAGTTGAATTTGGGCAAAAGGTTTCTTACCTATGACTCCATCATTTAAGTAGTGCTTAAGTGTCGATTCTTTTGATGGGCACTTTATTTCAATACAAAACTCAGCATTTACAGCATCAGGGCTAGCTCCAAATATAGGATATCTCTTATCTACAAATATTCCTACTTTTTCCACTTTTATTAGTTTCTTTCTTGCCACAACCTTCAATACTTTATCCTCTAATGATAATCCTCTCTTCATAGCCTTTGTGGACTTGAATTTTGCTGCACCCAAAATTGACTCCACTAAACATCCATCCTATGTTGTACTCTGTGCTGCTTCATAAAACTTCGATGCAGTAATACGTGCATACCTTATCTCAAACCATGTACCAGTATTGGATTGATCTTTTGTTTGATTTAAAATTTCTTTACAAGGTTGATCATTCATTTCTTGCTGACAATACTGAATAAAATTTTCAGCAGTGATGCTGCTACTGTTTCTTACAAATTTATTTATTAAATGATATAGGGATACTTTATCATTAGCATTCTCTTCAGTTTTGTAGTATTCAAATAAAATGCCCTTGCTTTTGTTTTCTAATCCTTTTTCTAGTAGTTTTTTCATGAAGGAATTATTGTGTGATGCAACTGGGGGAACATTCTTAAATAGCTTGTTCAATTTTGCTGCTTTCAATGAAGAACCTACTTTTGCTAAAGTCGGTTTTCGCCAGTAGCACTCAACACTTGTTACAGAAGGTTCTGTAGAACGTCGTAGTAGCCAAAACATCAGAGCTACACCATGCTTGCACCCTCCTAGAAATTAAAATATAGTATATTATAAAGACACAAGGAATTATTAAACTCAATACCTTCACTAGCTGGGCAGCTATGACACACAGTATGTGTAATCTTCTCTTCAGCCTCATTAATGCAGATTGTCACCCGATATCCTTTTTCGTGGATCTTGTGTTCTGGAGTTACTTGGCACTTTACAGTCGCATCAGCTGGACAAATCCGATAGCTTCATCCCCATACGATTGCTTGCCACTTCTAGGAACAAAATGGCTATTAAAAAATATTTCCTCACAATCGAAAAAGTACCCACCTTTGTGTTTTCACATTTCTCACACTTGCTTTGACAAAGTCATCATTGTGTCGATAGTATTCATCGATCATCTCGTAATCTACTTTCGGTAAATTCGAAGAATCTGCTTTCACGAAGTTTTGTTCCCTATTTTAATTGTGTATTTAAAAAGCTAAATTCCACAAACTAAATCACAATACCAAATGGTCAACAACAACGCCAGAATGCGTCATAACCTTTAAATTATCTGTCAAAAAAGCAAAGACACAGAACGCAAATAGCTCCGGACGAGTCTGTAGAATAAAATGGGTATATCTCCTGTCCTTGTCACACTGCAATCGCCGAACAAATGTAGAGTCACATTCTAAGAAGGGGGCGGAGAAAATATTACTACGTCACGGGAGATATTATTACGTCACACAGTTGGCCGCAAATTTTATTTTTAAACTTTGAAGGCGAGTTTTTGTTACTTCTTGTTCAAAGAAAAATGTAAAATTACTCAATATATAATTTTTAGATGTAAAACTTCAATTTGGAACCAAAAAATTTGTTTTGGAAAATACCCCATTAATATAAATGTCTTTGTACCTATGTAATGTGCGTTTTTTGTATTTATTGCAAACGTAAAGGGGAGCATGAAAATATAATTTATAGTCCGGGGAGCCTCAACAAAAAAAAAGGTTGGGAAACCCTGTTCTAGATTGAACAAAGTAACTTTATCCTGAACAATTTTATGCCACCCATCTGAAGATTACCATGAACTGAAAACTGTGAAAGTCTGAATAATTTTTGGTAGGAGGTATAATTATTAATGCTATTTTGCAGTGCTTTGAGTACGTCATGTTCCTTGTCTCTCAATTTTTCATCTCGGCTTCTTCTGCTCTGCATACTCTGGTGTTTTTTGTAATCACTAAATCGCTACGAGGGATGGCATTGAGCCATCTTTTGCGACCGTTTTCATTCACCGGAAACGGAGCCTTCGGATCTTTCACGTAATTACACTTGTAAGGCATTTTGAAAGCTTGGGGAAACAACTGCGAGGCACAAATATAAGTTTAAAACAATAATTTAAAGTTTACAAAGCAAAAAAAACTTGTTAGACTTTACACGTGACAGATTGAACGTAATATCGAAACTGCAATCTTGACATAATGAGGCAGATCAGAAAGAATAATCACATCATCATTGAAGCTGCGCAGGTCCCGAGTATATCTTGCAAATTTCCCCAGAGAGAGGTATAAATAATTAGTAGAGATTTCGATACTGCTATATCATATCTAGATATGTCAACACCGCTCTTACCAGCCAGCATGGCGAAACGCCATAAGAATTTAAACTGGCCTACTTAGCGTGACGTCATAGCCTTTTCGCAGCTCAGCTGTTAGTCCTTGTTATCTCAGTGGTAACGCTGTAGTACGTGCACAACCCAAGGAAACATCTTAACTGCGTCTTTTCTGCAGGAATCGGCCATTCCTTGATTGAGCGCACTTTCTTCGGATCGATTGCAACCTCATCGCGTCTGTCTACGTGGCTTAGTAGTTCACCTTCTCTCGGGGCAGACTGCACTTCTTCGGGTTCAATTCCAAGTTTGCGCCTCAGAGTCTCCGAAACACCCATTCTAAATTCCTCAGGTGCTCGTCGAACGTCTTGCCTACTACGATGATGTTCTCCAGGTAGACGAGACATGTTTTTCGGGACAGTCCCGACAGTACCAGTCTCTCGAAAGTAGCAAGTGCGTTGCAAAACCCGAAAGGCATTACTGTGAGCTTCCAGAACCCATGTTCAATTGAAAAGGCAGTATTCTAGGTCGACAGGGCCCATCTCCACTTGCTTAAGTTAGCTTTATCAATAAAAATCGTATTGTTCTTCAGCAACAAAGCATATTTATATACAAACACACACACACAGACATATAATTATATATATATATATATATATATATATATATATATATATATATATATACGTGCTTACCTGATATCGCAATCATCAAGAGAAACTGTTGCAGTTCTATTGTGATATGTTATATGAACTGTATGCCATTTTCCATCGGAGACCCCTCCAGGGATATGCGCCTGCGCTCTGGCCACTTGTTCATCACCTAGTGAAAATGAGAAACGGACGTCCGACTCCCATATCTCCAAAGCCAGGAAGTCGTGCCGTTCATTGTAACGTCCATTGTATAATAGCAGACCACTAAGACAAACAACTAAATGTTAAAATCATCAGAAACAGTGGGTTGCAGAAAACATGTTGCGGAAAAATACATAGGGTAGATGCACCGGATGTGGCCTTCGCACCGGTTTTGGCCATCCACGAAATAAATCTAAAATATTAAGTCATTTTTAACCTGGCCAATAAGATAATTTAAAATCCCACTATGTATTGCAATCTTGATCACGCCTACGCATTTAATTGGGTATGTTGGTTACAGGGTTTTTTCAACAAACGGTTTTCCAACGCCTGGCGCGGATATTGTGCTTTTCTTAAGGATTTTGTTAAAAAACGCGAGGTAAGTAAATGCATGATTATATGTAAGAATGTGAATATTTTTACTCAAAATGAGTGTTATTTGACTGATAAAGGAATTTTTCATGTTATTTTCGCAGTTTGAAGTATATAAATAATTAAAATAATATTGGAGCATCAAAGGTGCCTTCTGCGCCAGTTGTGGCCTTTTAGTGACTACAAATGGGACATAAAAACCAGTTGTGACCGTAAAGCAGAAAGAGGTGGCAAAATTTGATACTAATAAGGTAGAAAAGGACGACCTAATAACAGAAATTTTATTGTTTCAGAAAAGCTATGGCTCCCAGCAAATTATTTCAATATCCGGAAAGTGCCATGCAAAATGCACTTAATGCCATCCGACATCAGTCTATGCCCGTTTTGACAACATGTAAGCAGTTTAATGTCCCTAGAACATCTGTTCGAAATAGATTGGAAGATAAAGCAAAGGATGATTGCCGAAAAGTGGACCCAACGTGTTCTCTTGGCCCGGAAGTAGAACAAACATTGGTTTCCTGAATCCTAGACAGTTCTGCAAAATGTTTTCCTGTAAATAAAGAAAGTCTGCTGTACTCTATTCAAAAAATACAAGAATAATGTGATATTCAGCCCGAAATTCTTTAAAGGGGCACGAGGAAGAAAAGGGTTCGATTTCTTTATGAAGAGGCACCCAGAAGTAAGCAAGAAAAAGGCGGAATTTATAAACAATGCAGGGGCTGCGGTTTCTGAAGAATCCAGATGTTGGTTTAGTCACGTTAGAGAGCTCCTGGGGCCTCCAGTTACAGTTAAATAAAGTTAAAACATTTCTTAAGGTGGCCAAAATCGATGCTTCTACCCTATAGACAACTTAACGCAAAACAAGAGTGCCAGTTACCCAACACTTGTTTCAGTGGGAACGCAAAAAAGAACGTAGCAGAAATCGAAATGCAGTTGAAGTTGAGTTGCTGACGATTTGAGTGAGAACAGCGCCTGAGAGATAGCGTTCCGTTTATCTTCCTATAGCCCCAAGGTATCCGCCGTTACTTTGGCGCGTTCTTCGTAGTGCTCATCACATTGGTACTAATCACTGCATTACTTACAAAAATAAACCTTACCTTTGAGCCTGTGTAGCGAATTTAATGCTAACAGTAAGTCTATGCCTCTGCTTTAGACTAGGGTATGTAAGAAAAGCTCCTTTCACAAAGCTTCTTGTCTTCAGTTCACAAAAAGGTGTATAGTGCCCATCATCTGTCAAAATGCTGCATTCTTCACATATGAAGTTGGGTCGTCCTGTGGAAACAATTTTACTTCGGTAACGACGATGCAACATATAATTAAAAATGTACTTCTAAATATACTTTTATTAAGAAGGGAAAAAATTCGTGATGCATAATTGCATTACACTACAGCTTTCTTCAAGTATTTTTATACCGAAGCAGCCGCGCAGGCAGAAGCCTAAATGCCGGGACACCGCAGCTGCTATAATGATCCCAAAGAAATTTTGTTAATCTGATCTTTGAACTGCCTAAGGTTAGTAGAACTGGGAAAAGCTTCCTGTTGTAGATTGTTCCACAATATCGACAACCTTGAGACAAGGGAGCGGTCATAGCGGCCAGTTCTGGATGTACGAAGTTCGACACGGCTAGAATGGGAGGCCAAAGTCACGCAGGTCTGTCTGGCAGGCACATCGCGCGGCGGCATCATGGAAGAGAGCTCCGAGGAGCACAACCCGTTGGTGTAGAGGTAGAAGAGTGCTAGATCGCCGACAGCCCACCGGTGCGAAAGGGTCCCGAGACTGTCGGTTAGAGAAGAGTCATCGATCAGTCGGACAGTCTTCCTCTGGACAGTATCGAGCATAAATAATGTAGCCGGGTGGCAGCATCCCAAAAGTGTGAGCAATACTCGAGGCTAGGCCTTATCTGGATCTTGTATAGAGTGAAAAGGTCATGCGGAGAAAAGTACTTCTTAGCCCTAAACAAATAGCCTAGATCAGGTCCTCGGTGATCTTGACTCCGACCAGCCGAAATGAATGGCTCTTTGGCAGAACTCGGCCATCCTTCGAAACCGGATGAACGCTAGAACGTTTTTTGTTCGTCAAGGTACAGTACTGTATTTTGGAAGCATTAAACTGTAGAAGATTGGTGCGTCCCCAAGCAGTGATAACCTCCAGGTATCTCGTCCAAGAGGAAGTCGTCGTTAGTCTTCTTTTTTCCAGCTCAGCGGTAGAGATCAGCTTATCGCTCTGAATTCCTGTATGTACAGTGCTGTCATCAGCGAAGCTGTGGATTGGGTTGATCGTGCAGAAAAGGAGGTCGTTGATATGTAAGAGGAAGTGTCGGAGCTAAGACCGATCCCTGGGGAATACCCGCGTTGACGTTGTGGGATGAAAAGAACCCGTCAATTATGACGGATATCTTCAAAGCTTTTCTAGGAGGCCATAGGATAGAAGTTTGCTTAAGAGGGCAGCGTGCCACAGCTGATCGAACGCTTTCGTGATGTCCAGAGTAACGACATGAGCCTGACCATAAGACTGGATGAGTTTACTCCACGATTACGTGACGTAAGCTAGGAGGTCCCCTGTGGATCGCTCGTGCCGGAAACCATACTGTCTGACGCTAATCAGGCTGTGACGTTCGAGATACTCCAGAAGCTCGCGATTTATGCACCTCTCCATCACCTTACTTATAAAAGAAAGCAGAGCTATAGGCCTGTAGTTGTAAGGATCCGTCTTATATCCCTTTTTTTTGGGATAGGTTGGACATGAGCAAATTTCCAGTTTTCTGGGAAAGTGACGAATTCATACACATCTTCAGTACAATGGTAGGAATCAAGTCCGGACCAGAAGCTTTGTTGATGTCGAGCGACAAGAGCACTCGTCTTACGGTCTTATGCCTGAATGTTGCCTCCCGCATAGTGTAAGGAACCCTTTGAATTGACGGCACTTGGGCGTTGGGGAGTTGGCAGCAAAGATCTGGGAAAGCACTTCCGCCTTGGCTTTTAAGTCGGATACAATCGTTCCAACCTGACACGTATGTGGTGGAAGGCTACTACTGTGTGAGAAGTTCTTCTCAATCTGCTTAGCCAGTGTCCAGAAAGACCGACTACCATTGCGCTGCGACATTACCATGCGCCTAACTTTTATATCGTGCTGGTTTTTGGCACTGCGAACCGCTTCGTTATATTTGTTTCTGGACTCGTCGTCGGCTTGTCTGTTCTCTAAGTGAAGTTTTGTAAGAAGGTTCTATGTGCCTTGATCTTCTGCTGACAAGCAGTGTCACACGATTTGTTAAACCAGCCGTTGGAACCCTGGTTAACCCTGTATAATTTCTGTTATCGAAGAACAGACAGCCGATACATCCGCGTCAGTGAAACAGACATCTCTCCAAGAGAAGGTAGAGAAAAAGTCTCTGAGCCCCTCCCAGTCGGCATGTCCGTAATGCCAAATTTTGCATCCTGTGCGAGTTTCTGCTGCCACGGCGGGTTCTGACCGAAACCTAACCTCTACAACACCGTGGTCTGGGTTAAACAGCGATGATAGGACAGCAGTGCTGTAAGGGGCAGGATGCGTGGTCAGAAAGAGATCCAGCAGGCTACTGGCATGTGACATGAGGCGGGGGAAAAAAGTAGGGCTCGTCACCAGCTGGGTCAGCCCTTGAGTAAGAGCGAACGCTTCAACAGCACGACCTGCTGCATCGGTCTTGTTTGAGCCCAAATCACCAAGGAGAACTACCTCTGAAGCGGGGTGATTGATGATCAAGAAGTCGATCTTGCCGGCGAGGTATTCAAGTAGGTCATCCAGGTTATGGTCCGAGGAAGAGGGATAAAGGCAGCAAATAAATTTGGGAGATGTTTTGGAGTTGAGACGAAGTCACAGAATGTCCTTCCGGTCTGATCCCAGAGACACATCTGTGGAGCAGGAAAGACTGCTGCGAACAAAGGCCACAACTCCCCCATTCTTTCTCAAATTGGAGTGCACCTCGTAATTTTTGAAGCTAAGATGGTTAATCGGTGCAGGCTCCGAGATTTTTGTCTCCGCTAAAAAAACCATTGTGGGATGATTGGAGTGCGATAGTGATGAACAGCATCAATGTTGCTGTAAATCCCGCAGATGTTCGTGAAGCAAATTTTATCTTCGATGTTGTTCAGTCGAGTCCACCCTCCACCCGGACATTCCGAGAGTGGAGTGAGTTTATTTCCAGAATTCTTAGTTCTCGAGGGATCCATCATCATTAATTTCTTGGTTTTGGAAGATAACCGATTGCATAGCTTAGGTGTGGAAACATGCGGACAGTTATAAGACTCCATGGGAAAAGCTAGCGGGTGGCACCGCCTCGGTCGACTGGTCCTTGTCTACCACTTTCTTTTTGCGTGTTAATGATATTAAATAGACCTAAAATGGCCCGTTGGCGGACTTGTACCGCCAATCGGCAATCGGTACCGAGGTATTCCTTAACGCGTGTCCATCACTTGAACGGGAAGAAGTTGTATACCGGATACAACAACTTCCGGAACAAGCATTTTCTCAAGTGTGTTACCATATTTATAGCGGGCACAAATCTTCTTGGCCGTGCAACAACATTTATGCCCGTCAAGCAGGGGTCAATGATATAATGGAATAAAATAATGGTAGGTGAGTTAATTTTTTTTGTCAATTTTACTATTCAAACTAGTATGAATTCCGATGAAATGCGAAGACAAGTCGATTTTCAACACACACACACACACATATATACAGGGTGACTTTGAAGTTGAGTCATTAATTTTCAGATAATGATTGTAGAAGGAAGATAAACCAAAATATGTGAGTAAAAATAAAAAAAAAATTTAAAAAAATGTTACCTTGTTTTATAAAGTATCCTCCCGACAAGTATTTCAGTGCGGACCTGTATTTGATCGTGCGGTCTTGGAGCACCGCATGACCTCCCCTGTGAGGTCTTAAGTCACCTGATTCACAAGCCCTTTGTACTACATTAACAAAGGCACGAGGGGTTGGTTGCACTCGATTGGGAAACCGATTCGCACAAATCTGTGATGCCGCGGCAGCATTTTGTAAAGACTCCCCCCCCCCCGTAAATAAGAATCATGTCCACAAGTTCAACATTTTCGTAAACATGTGCCATTTTTCATTTCGTTTGAGTCACGCAACAAACACCACTATTCACTCACGCGTTACCGACTGACGAAAAACATCGTGATAAACGTTTCAAATTCTTTCGTTTTTTTGTTTCCGATGCGATGAACCGATAAGGCGGATTATATCCGTTGTTGCCAAACACGAGCACATAATATTATTATTGAGACAGGGCGGTACTCAAACTTCTAACTTTGTTACTTTAATTTTACCAGAAAAATGTTAAAGGAAAAAAACATTTCTTTTGATCAGATCTACTCACTGTTAAAATAAATGACTCAATTTCGAAGTCACACATATACAGGGTGGCGCATCGAAAACGAAACAGACGCATTTACTGGCAGCTCAGTTTTTTATTCGAAAAACGCTCAGACCCGTCGATTTCGTTTTCGAGGAGGACACAAGTTTGGCAAAAAATCACGTTAGCACGTGCAGCCCCCTAAGCGGGGGTGGCACCACCCCCAAAATCTTAAATGGAAATGGGGGTCAAGTGATACCTTATTTTAAAGGTCTTTCAATTCCCTTTATAATGATATAAAATTAATGTACTTCAGTTTAGTAGTTTTGAAGATTTATTTATTTAAAGCTTAAAGTAGACTTCAGATTAGTTTGTACTACTTTCAGATGAAATTTGACTAAAAGAATTTACTTAATAAGTAAATGCTTTTCTTCACTACACCCACGGTTTGTTTATCATTTTGTTGTTAAAAATAGCTAAAAAAGTTATTTCTTGAAGAAAGATAAGGAAATATCTCTACTTGTTTTAAATAGGAATTTAGTACATAGCTTGCGATTGATTTGACCAAACTTTGTTGCTAAAATAACTTGTAACGCTTTATTACATAAATTAACCATGGTATATTCCACAGCAGAAAGAGTTGAAATTATCGAAATAATCAGTGCGCTAGTAGAACAGCAGAAATATTTAATGAAGATTTTAGGGTTGGTGTCACCACCGCCCAAGGGGCTGCACGTGTTAACGTGATTTTTTGCCAAACTTGTGTTCCCCTCGAAAACAAAATCGACGGGTCTGAGCGTTTTTAAAAAAAAAAAACGAGCTGCCAGTAAATACGTCTTTCTCGTTTTCGATGCGCCACCTTGTATATATTCTTTAATTTCTTTGGGTAGAAGGCAACGTATTGCAATCACTCTTATAACTTAAATTCTCAAGCTTTCGAAGAATTTTATCTTCATCGTCTGGAGCTGGAAACAATTATTATTAAAATAGCAACTAACAGCAATTAGGAGACAAATATTTACTTACTAAGTCGGCGAGATTGTTGCTGAAATTGTTTTTTAAACAACAGTGAAGGGAACAAACACACAGTCGACGAATAAAAAACTGGACCGATAAGGTTCGATTAGGACACAGTTATTTTATTATTAAATGGCAATCATTTTGAAAGGTTTTATTTAAATTAGTCATTGATTGATTTTGGATGAAATTTGGAGATTTTAAAACTATCAACTATTGAAAATTCCCCCGAGATTTCATCTTTTTTCCACTGATAACCTCCACATTATCCAACACGTGCCGGCCGACTGACATTCTACAGCAGCCTATGACGTATGAGGTGTGACATTGGAAATTATTGGTAGGTCACCCATTATGTAGTACAGTGAAGTGTGTTGCCTAACAGTAAGGCATTTTTGTAATATATAATGCAAGAGGTTGCGGTATTGTTGACCGATGAAGTGCGAAGAAATTTTCAAAACCCGATAGAAGTTGCTTTGGAAAGAGTGTGATTTGGATGTTATCCTATCAAACAACTAAATAATCCGTAGGGGATATTACCACTTGAGGAAAAACATTGAGAAATTTTTGATTTGATTTTATTAAGATAGTGAAAAATTATTTTATGTAGATTGAGCGATTATTGGGACAAATCTATGTTGTTTCCTACACCTTCATCAGTCTAACAGTGTGTAGCCCAAATTGCAATTAGCACACGAAACCAATAGATGGATCTTCTTGATAAAATGCATGAAAAATGGCATCTCACCATCTCACATCACCCATAGACTAACATCGATTAATCACATTATACACAATCATTTGGCAGAAGATGGGATTAACACACCAATTGAAAGGTTAGGAGATAAGATATTAACACTTCAGATTTCCTCCTGTCACAAACAGTTAAAAAACCGCAACTCCTCTCTAAAATCATTAAAACATAATATAATTTCTTCCATAAATCTTAAAATTTTCAATAATTTTGAATCTAGACAGTTAAGACATTACAACACCCTGTACCATAACATTAAAAATTCTAATATTCGCAAGTTTGACAAATTGCTGGATGATTCTATAAGAATTTTACTTAACACTCAACCAGACTGGCTAAAAAACCTTAGTAACATCGACATTCCCAACAACATCTCCAAATTTCTTTCACTAGGTCCAAAGTTCAGTGTTGAACCTGTCATTGGCAAGGGCATCCCAATCAGATCCATTCTAGCTGATGTGGACATTATAGCCTCCTCCATTAATGACGAAACAAATAGGAACATTTTCACAACTCGCTCTACGAATATCATTACAAACTTTTACCACAATAATAACACAAACAAGAGAAATACTTTCTATCACAACTTATCGAATAAAACTAAAAAAATCCTCAAAGAACGCCCCGAATTAACGGTTACACGATCTGACAAAGGAAATGTCACGGTTATATTGCTCCAACAATATTTTGTTCTATGCAATAACTTAATTGATAATGATCCTTCCTATAAATTAATGAATAGGGACCCCACAACAAGATTTGAAAAAGGTTGTAATGACTTTGTTAGCGAGCTTTTCAACACTGGACAAATAAACCAAGACCAGAAAAAATCACTAACCACATACGACTCAGTCTCACCAAAATTTTATGCCCTGCCTAAAATACATAAACCAACACTGTCAGTAAGACCTATAGTAGCATCAATCGGCCACGCAGTCTTTATGTTCGTTAATTTCAGATATACTCAAGTCAGCCCACATTTAAGGTGAATACTACATCAAAGACTCTTTTGATGTATCCCGACAATTTAACAGGTCGCAAATAATACCAGGACATGTGATCGCAAGTCTAGACGTGGTATCACTATTCAGTAACAACTTAGAAGCTTGTATCAGATCCATTCACTAACATTGGGATATAATAGGTCAGCACTGTAATCTAACTCTGGAATCATTGGTCACCATTTTAGAATATCTTTTTAAGAACAATTTTTTCACTTTCAACAATAAAACCTATTCATAAACACATGGTTGCCCAATGGGATCATTGTTATCACCAATTTTAGCAGACTATGTAATGGATGACCTGCTTGATATTGTTATTCAGGTACTGCCTTATAACCTTTTTTCCTGGACTCAAAAATCATCCGAAATAACAATATCTTAATGGTAGACTGCCTATGGCATCAGGCAGATTCCTGAATTTCAGATCCTACCACAAACTTAACATAAAGATAATTCTGGTGAAACAAATGAAAACAATGGTCACTAGCTTTTCTGACAGTACCTTCCATCTTTCAAACTTACGCAAACTCTCAACACTTTTCACGAATAATAGTTATCCAAAATACCTGACAAACAGAATCTTGTTCAGCTTTCCCGCTGCTCTACCATTGTCTCATAACAATGATAACAACAATCCCAATAAAAATGATAACCCTCCCAATGATACAGACATTTCATCAATTTCCAGAACTAGTTTCGCAGTGCTACCATACATTAAAGATCTAACACAAAAACTTTCTAGATTATGCAACACTTTAAATTACCGCATTGCTTATAAATCCTCACTCACAGTCAACAATGTCTTCTCGAAAATGAAAGATAGAGTTCCTCTGCTTAGCCTATCCAACATTGTCTTCTCCATCAATTGTAATGTAATAACTGCAATCTCACATACATAGGTCATACCTCAATATCCCTTAAAGGTAGAATAACCTCACATAAAAGTGATGCTAGACTACATCCAGAAAGATGTGCTATAGCTTCACATGTGAACCCCACAGGGCATCAAATGGGATACAAACGCCTTAGCGTCGTCTACGCGTATTTGCTGAACTGCGAAAAATTGGAAAAGCAACACATCTCCCCCAACTTAGATTTGTCCCAATAATCGCTCAATCTACACAAAATAATTTTTCACTATCTTAATAAAATCAAATCAAAAATTTCTCAATGTTTTTCCTCAAGTGGTAATATCCCCTACGGATTTTTTAGTTGTTTGATAGGATAACATCCAAATCACACTCTTTCCAAAGCAACTTCTATGGGGTTTTGAAAATTTCTTCGCACCTCATCGGTCAACAATAGCGCAACCTCTTGCACTATATATTACAAAAACGCCTTACTATTAGGCAATACTCTTCACTGTACTACATAATGGGTGTCCACCAATAATTGTCAATGTCACACCTCATACGCTGCTGTAGAATGTCAGTCGGCCGGCACGTGTTGGATAATGTGGAGGTTATCAGTGGAAAAAAAGATGAAATCTCGGGGGAATTTTCAATAGTTGATAGTTTTAAAATCTCCAAATTTCTTCCAAAATCAATCAATGCCTAATTTTAAATAAAACCTTTCAAAATGATTTGCCATTTAATAATAAAATAATTCGTCGACTATGTGTTCCCTTCACTGTTGTTTAAAAAACAATTTCAGCAACAATCTCGCCGACTTAGTAAATATTTTTCTCCTAATTGCTATTAGTTGCTATTTTAATAATTGTTTCCAGCTCCAGACGATGAAGATAAAATTCTCCGAAAGCTTGAGAATTTAAATTATAAGAGTGTACTTTTGCAATACTTTGCCTTTTACCCAAAGAATTTAAAGGATATCTTCTCCTAACAGTTAGGGCAATTAATTATGAATACTACATATATATATATACACATGGTTGCCTTAATTCGTTAGGAGAAAGTATCCTTGTAATTCCTTTGGGACGAAGGCAAAGTTTTGCAAAGCACACTCTTTTAACTTGAAACTCAAGCTATGAATATATCGTTAATATCAATCAATCGTTCTTACAGATATCAACATTACCCATCCCTTATTAGGTATTAACATCTAAGGACGATAAATGAGAATATTAACAATATTCCAAGCTGGGATCCACGTAAATGACCGGCCAACTTAAATGCCAAAAAATCGCCATTTTCCGTAACTTAAAATAGTTCATGAGGCTATCACCTGGTTTCGGTAAGCACGTCTTTGTCGAATCCTTGTCAAATAAGCAGGGTGCATTCTGCCTGCATGCATCTTGTTCTTTTTTCAAAACTGTTTCACACTGCTCTCCAAGGTATCCTTCAGGACACAAGCAAGTATATCCCCCTTCTCTTACTTCACACGTGCCATGGTTATGGCATGGAGATGAGTAGCATAGATTCACTTCAGTATCACACAGGTAATGTTCCTTGTATCCTATAACGTAAATAAATTTTGAACAACTAGCAACTTTCATTCTTTCTATTTCTTATAGCAATAGGCGAGTGAATGTAGGGACTGAGGGCAAAGCTTATGTTTTGCGCTGGTAAAACACATTTTGTTAGATATCAATGAATGCACACATGCAACTATAAAAGTAGATACACATGCCCATACATCCGGATACGGGTGTAGTCTGAGGAAACGAAGATGGAGAGGGAAAAAAATGATACATGAAATCCACAACAACAGCCAACCTACACATTGTAGTATAAATGGCTAGAAGACCTCGAATTTTCAAGGCGACATCTAACCATAACCACGCGGCCCGTTATAGCCACTTGCTGTGGTAGTTCAAGCTCAAAGGATCTACAAAGAAGAAAGGACCATACGGAGACAAATAGAAAAATAAGAAGGAAAGTGGATTCGAGCAGAAAATAGGATAGGTAGCCGGAGCGATACACATTAAATACGCGGATTTTGCCCATTGGTTTTTTTTTCTTATATACCTTTCTCCGCATGATTTTCTCTCTCTCTCTCTCTCTCTATTATATAAACAGAAAATGGTCATGCGGAGAAAGGTATATTATTATATAAGGTGTGTTCATTTTTTCCCTCTACATCTTAGATTCCTCAAGTTACACCCGTATCCGGATTTATGGGCACGTGTATCTACTTTTGAAGTTGCATATGTGTATTCGTTTCGGGTCTGATGAAGCCAACCAGCAGAAATATGTATTGCTCATGTTACCTATCTTATTCTCTCCTCGAATCCACTTTCCTTCTTTTTGCGTATTTTGCCCATTATTTTCCTATGTATATATATATATATATATATATATATATATATATATATATATAGGGTGGCCCATCCATGTGTGGACGAAATATTACTCATAAACAAATACATTTTGGAAAAATCTATTTATGGCATGACATTTGAAGGCACATTTCTAAAATATTGGCAATTATACAGGGTGTCCCATTTTGACCTACATATCAAAGTTGTGATTTTTTAAATGGAATGCCTCAAATTTTATTGCGAATTTGGATAAACCAATTCAAAAGAAGAAGATTGATATAACATACTATGGGGTTTTGGTAATTAGCTATTGAGATGTAAGGTGGTTTGTCCAGATAAACCGTCCACTTCGGCAACCCCTCAATCCGCCATTTTGAAATTTGGAGTGCTGAATATTGTATCAAAAAAACTTACACACCTCAACTTTTATCTTATTTGTAACTTTTTAACAAATGTAGTCTTCCTCAAAAATTTCAAATGCATCACACTGTATATTTCTGCAAATTTGGATTCAATTTTTCATAAGCTTTTTTTAATACTAGACACATCAGGGTTTTTATGGCTATTTTTTATGGAACGGCTCAATTCCCTAAAATATCGCATCATCCTTGGAAACAAATAAATTGCTGATTAGTTACAAACTGTCAAAATTAGTTTTGTGAGCATTATAATAAAGAATTGGTGAATATGATGTTCGTTTTGGGCGAAGTTTCCTAGCATCTCGCATTTATAAGCAACGGTAGCCTAATATGCGACATCTAAGGCCGGAAAAATGTATACACTACGAGAACGTTTTGAATCAAGTGGAGCAGAATATAGTAAAAAATGTATATATAATCCAAGTTTCACCAATCAGGCGAATCAGCAGTTGCAAGAAAATCCCCATTTAACAACAAATTAACAGGTACAGAATACTTGAATTTTTTGATCGAGCATTTGACTTTGCTTTTGGAGGATGTCAACCTGCAAACTCGGATGCAAATATACTTCCAACATGACGGCGCACCTGTACATTCTCATAATCGTGTGCGTAACTATTTGGACACCTGGAATAACAATCATTGGTTCGGTCGTGATGGGCCTATGTCTTGGCCTCCTAGATCACCAGATATGACACCGATGGGCTTCTTTCTATGGGGCTACGTTAAGCAACAGGTTTATAGATATCCACCATCTACCCCGGAAAATATGAAGGAAAGATTAAGGATGTTTTTCTGAATATAAGGGAACACATGCTGAGGGATATGCAACGGTCATTTATCCAAAGACTACGGCTGTGTATTCAACATGGAGATATTTCCGAGCAGTTTCTGTAGATTAGGTCTTGAGTAGTGATAGTTGTTTCTTTATGTTATTGTTATAGTTGTTTTTCTCCATTACGTTTGAAGCTGATTTATACTGTTCTAATTGTTATCAGTTTTTACGTCAAATCTGTACTCTTAGTGAGAATATGGAACTAGTCCACTGTTTGTCTTTTGTTTCCATGGATGATGTGATTTTTTCCCATAATTTTGGTGTGTTGTTCTATTAAGAGCTTAATAACTCAAAATCTAGTGATTTTATCTGAATCAAACCTTACACCAAAAAAAAAACTTGAAAATTGAATCCAAACTTGCACAAATGATGCATTTAAAATTTTTGAGAAAAAGTACAATTCGCGTTTTTGACCACCTGTTTAGAAAAATTCATTTTCAAACACGTTTTTATTATAATGCTCACAAACCTAATTTTAACAGTTTGTAACTGATCAACAATTTATTTGTTTCCAAGAATGATGCCATATTTTAGGGAATTAAGCCGTTCCATAAAACACGTGTTAATAACCGAAAACATAGCTGTAAAAACCCTTATGTGACTAGTATAAAAAAAAGCTTATAGAAAATTGAATCCAAACTTGCACAAATCTACAGGGCGATGCATTTGAAATTTTTGAGAAAACCACCCTGTATGAACAAAAATTCAGCTCTCCAAATTTCAAAATGGCGGATTGAGGGGTTGCCGAAGTGTACGGTTTTTCTGGACAAAACACCTTACATCTCAGTAGCTAATAACCAAAACCGCATAATATGTTATATCAATCTTCTTCTTTTGAATTGGTTTATCCAAATCTGCAATAAAATTTGAGGCATTCCATTTAAAAAATCACAACTTAGATAGATCAAAATTGGGACAGCCTGTATAATTGCCAATATTTTACAAATGTGCCCTCAAATGTCATGTATAACATGCCATAAATAGATTTTTCCAAAATGTATTTGTTTATGAGTAATATTCCGTCCACACATGGATGAGCCATCCTATATATATATATATATATAAGTTATGTACCAGTCTATAGAGAAGAAGATGCTGAACAAGGACTTTTGCCTCCACGTTCCTTTCTTATCAGTTTCAGTATTGTATTTCATTTGTTCTTTACTTTGTTTTATATAATACACATTGCAGTCAGTCTCGATTCAGAACTCATTCAATTAACATCGTTGTATTTGGTTTTTCTCAAAAATAAATCTTTTTTAAAAACGTTTTCGTTGAAGAAAGATATTTGAGTGGCGCAGCAAGCAGTAGGATAGCCAGACGAAAAAGGACATTTTCGGTTCGTTTCAACGGTTCGCTGGCTATAACGAAACCAACCGCGATTGGTCGCGATCGATCCGACGGAATATCGTTACCGTGATCACCGAAACCAGATTTGGGGTAAAACCCTACCCAAATCGAGAAACCAAGAAGGCAGCAGCCCAGAGGACAGAAGGAACATCTGCTCCAGGACAGGCAACCCAGCAGTGGCCCAGGCATACGGACACATGGGATGGATTGGATTACTACTGTAAGTACGAATGTCTTACACGGGTGAAAACAATCAAGAGCTGATGATGATACATTGAGTGACACTGATTCGGACTCACAGTCGGATACGGAAAATATCCAACATAGTACATACATTGTATTTCCGGAGTATAATCTCAAAGTATTGATTGACACTGGAAGTACAAAATCTTTCATACACCCTGAAATTGCGTGAAAATTATTTTCAAGACATATTCAAAAAGACCCATTTTAAATCTCTTCAGCACATGGTTCATCTATCGAACAATATAGTATGACAATACCATGTCCAAAGATTTTTAAGAATCCAAATATTCTCATGAAATTTCATTTATTCAAGTTTCACAAACATTTCCAATGCCTTTTAGGACTCGATAACCTGAAAGAGATATTGAATGCCAACATTGATTTGAGCAATGATCTTTTAGTCACACCCACAACAAGGATACCCATACAATATCACGAGATTACAAAAAATTCGTCTAATGTTATCACTGTTCCACCTAGAACAGAACAGATAATTAAGGTTAACATAAAAAATTTAAAAAAAATGGTAATGCTATTATTCCATACAGAAAATTATCATGTTTAGAAATCCCTGAATGTCTTACTACAGTGAAAAATCAAGAAGCGATTTGCACAGTATTAAATTTATCTGAAGAACAGATTTCTCTTGACATATCTCGACCAATAGATGTAGAAAATTTTGAAAATTACTAATTTTCAGAAATTTCTGATCCGCTGAATATTAATTCTTTGCACTTTCAAAAATATAAATTTGATATTTCCAAAATTAGGACATAGCATATGAACTCTGAAGAAAAAGACGCAATCACCAAGTTAGTAAGAGAGTATTCAGACATATTTCACGTAGATGGTAATTACTTAACTTTTACGAGCAAAACTAAGCATCATATACGTACAAGCGATGAAATACCCATTTACACTAAATCATACAGATATCCTGAAATCCACCGAAAAGAGGTACAAAGACAAATACAATCAATGCTTGATCAAAAAATTATTAGAGAGAGCCATTCAGCGTGGTGCTCACCTATGGATTGTTCCAAAAAAATTAGACGCATCGGGAAAGCAAAAATGGAGAATAGTCATAGACTATAGAAAATTGAATGAAAAAACATTGGGAGATCGTTATCCTCTTCCAAACAACAGATTTGTTAGATAAATTAGGGCGATGCCAATATTTTTCAACATTAGACTTAGCTTCAGGTTTTCACCAAATAGAAATGGCAGAAGAGGATATTCAAAAAACTGCATTCAATACAGAAAATGGACACTACGAGTTTAAAAGAATGCCATTTGGACTAAAAAACGCGCCAGCGACTTTCCAGCGCGTAATGGATAACATACTGAGAGGTATTCAAAATGAAAAATGCTTAGTATATTTAGAT